CTGCTATCTACTCGCTGCTGGTTGACTCGGGCACCTCGGCTAAAGTCCATCTCTTCCCACCCACACCTTTTTTTTTCCTGCCTCTCCAGCACTTTTGAAACATTTCCTCCAGCACGACGCGTGCTCACCCCTCATCCATATGGAATCAACATTCTCGGCTCTGCTGCTGTGAAAGCTAACAGTGATTTCAGCAAAGCTTAAGAGTCCTTCAGCTGAAATGAGTTGAGGATGAGAAAAGGGACATACGGCAGGAAAGAAAAAAATCAATGTGTGAGGCATTGCAGTGTCGGTATGGGAGCTTCAGTTGTGGGGCTTTTTATGGGTGAGCTGCTGGGCTCACTGGATGATTTGAACTCTGAACTTCTGTGACACTGAAGACTGGAGCAATGGCTGCTGAAAATTCAGCTTTGCCATCACAGGAATAAATACATTAAAATAGAAAAGATTGTAATAATATTTCACAATATTCCTGTTTTTACTGTAATTTAATTAAATAAATGCAGCCCTGGTGAGCATAAGAGACTTCTTTCAACAAAATAAAAAAATCTTAATCATACCAAACTTTTACTGGTAGTGTATGTAGGCATGCAAGTATAGTTCTTATCTACTCTTTGAAAATATTAGTCAAGATTGTATATTTTTAAATCAGCAATTAAATCTGACAACAATGGTATCATAAATTTTGCTAGTCTTGTCCAAATATTATTGTGCAAAAAACTAATGCATTGGCACTTTCACTTCATTAAGCTGACTGGCTTTCTTTTTCTTTTCTTTTTTTTTACTAAAATGCAGGATTTCATAATTATGCATATTGAGAATAAAGACAGACTTGATAACCCTTTGACCACATTTTTTGTAACTAGTATTCACACCTTTCTACTCAACTGGTGTATACAGCCATTTTACACCTTACAGATATACTGCAAAACAAAGATGAAAATAAACTTTAAATGTTAGCAAAACAACCTTGCTTAAAATTTTATAACAGTATAAAAACAATAAAAGCATTATTTTTATATTTTATAATAAACAATTATTAATATTATTAATTAGTATTATTATTATCAGTAGAAGTAGTATTACTAACAAAATAAAAAACTTTTATTATTAGTATAAATAATAACAATAATTATGATGTTATAATAATTGTTGTTATTATTAGCAATAATAACAACAACAATAAAAACTATAAATCATTATTATTATTTTGATTATTAATAATATAACATGTAAATATAATAATATATATATATAATATATAAAAATATATAAAATAATAATAATAATAATAATCAGAAGAACAATTTATTACTACTAATAGAAATGTGTTAAAAATCAGTTCTGGTTATCAGTCATCAGCCATTTAAACATAACTTGCATGAAGGCCATGGAAAAAGCTATAATGAGCATTACAGTTTCTCTCGTTAATTTTTCTATAGTGGTCCTTATATCATTTCTGGTTCTCCTCTCCATTCTGCATGCATTCTTTCCATCTCTTCCACCCAACCTGCAGTGCCTCTTACATCACTCCTCACATTCTACAGTTCAAGACCTTTGGAAATCTCTCAAACCTTTTTTCTAACTTATTACTAAAGGTAACTCACGGCGCTGGCGAGCAGGAAAGGAAGGGAGGTGATGGAATCGTGACTGTGTGTACTTGTGTGTTTGTTTGTTGTGCATTCCTGTGTGAGCGAGAGTATGACTATGCCGGAGAGCGAGAAAACGAGCGCACAGCATGCATGCAGTGGTGCTGATGATCTGTATCGTACATTTGTAAAAATATCTCTAGTTTGTCTCAGTGTTAGAGAGAGGAAATATAACAAGGGGACTTGATTTGAGGACTGTTGTAAACGTTGCATCCTCTCATCTTTTCAAAAACGTACCATGACTGTGAAGTGCTGCTTTTTATCACAGTGGGCATCCAGCCTCATACAATGTCACATCCAGTCCAAATGATTCTGAATAAAAGATTCTAAAGCCCTATCTGGCCCGACAAAATCTAGAAAAGACCAACATTTGAGATGCATTGCCTTCCTAGCCATGATTCAAAAGAAACATTAATTGGCACCTAAGTCCTTACAAGCGATTACAAGCGATTCCTAATAAGCGATAAATTATTATTTAATTCTGTCATCTAACCATCTGCTCTTGCAAAGAAGACACATGTGGGTCATTCTCGTTAGGCAGTACCTTCTGAACTTGTGCATGCATTTTAATTTAGGAACGTATTTCAGGGTACGTCAGATTTACACATTTACAAAATAGCAAAAAAAGAACCGAAAAAAGCTTGAGTTTGCCATTGCTAAGTTAGCTTACATGAGGGTATTAATGTTTTGTTGGAAACCAGAGATGTGTGCCAACTTAGTATGAATATGTTAGCCATAAGGTTATCTATAAGCTAGTGTGTTCCAAAACAATGACAAAATTCGCATTTAGAAGATTAAAGCATTCAAATCTTTCTCTAAGCATTCAAAACATTCTATAACTTCCGCCAATATGGATCAACGATTCTGATGACATCACCCTGCACTTCAGCTGCTCGTCAAACATTCTGTCCAATCAAATGCTCTCTAGAATCTGAAGTGTCCCACCCCCTACACTATAAATAGACGCTGAAGCTGCGGCTGTAATTTGAACGCATGGAAGTAGAATTAAACTGAAATTCAACTAGGACATTAAAGTTGGTCAAGTCAAACTTTAAATGCTGGCATGACAAAGACTTGTTTAAAATCTTTGAAAAAAAGATGGACGGATGGATTGATCAAGATGGATGGATCAGGCCAATTCAATTCAAACTCACACTTCTTAAATTCTGTCCAACCCTTTAGCAAACCTTTTGATTAAAGAACCAGGAACATTTCTTGATAATTTTCATTTCAATTATACAAAATATAATTTTAGAAGTAAAGTGTTTTACACCCAGGGACATGGTGAAAACATTTTTTAATGTAAAATTATTACAAAATTCACTCCATGTTCACTTAATTGGAATATAAGAAACTAATGTTGTTTTAATCTGAAAAAAAATAATACTTAGTTTCATATTTTATCTTATATTTACTGTATATAGACATAATGTGGACATGAAAATGTACTGGAAATGTGAAATAACCAAAATCAGAGAGATTTCTATCCGAGGCCACCCTTGAAATCACCCCCCCTCCCAAATGGCAAAACCTCAGGCATCATTTCACTTGATTGATGGAGCCATTTTCCTGTGCAGGGGCGAAATAATGGCGTTAAAAAAGGCATTTGAATCCAACAGCTGTTGAGCAAATTGATCTCCTTTTTTACCATTTACACAAAACAGCTCCCACACCTCTGAAATGTGGGCCAATTAATCGCATCTGAAACACAGAAGGGATTTTTCCTCTTTTAGATGGGTAACATTTACAAAGGGATCTCTTGAGAGCAAAAACAGATACATCAATAATGTCTAGCTGTCTTAGGCAATTGACAAACAAGAAGCACTTTCTGCACAACAGCAATACCTAATTGCAAATAACAAGGGTGTATTTCTCATTATCGACAACACCATATACACTTGACTTGGAATTCTGAGTATGCATGTTATCACTACAAATTATGTCTGCAGATATGTGACATATGCTGGAAATATGAGGGCAAATGCACAAGGCCATCTACATTTAAAGCAGCTTTGATGAGCATAGACGCTGACACCTTGATTACACCCCTACGGTTCTGAAGGGAAAGCCATCTCTAACCAAACAAGCTAAAAGACCTTGGATGAGCGCAGGTTTTTAAATAAGGCCAGAGTGTTTCTCTGAAGAGAAATCATCTTGAGCGTAGGGATCAATATAAATTATTGCAAAATCAGTAAGAATGTACAAATGTGAGATTTCATTTGCATTAAAGTCAGCATGAAATGCTAATTTACCCAAGTATTTACTGGATGCATCTTATAGCTCTTACTGTAAACATTTCATCAGTGCATGTGTTTCATTTTTAAAAAGGTTCTGACCTCGTAATGTTTAATCAAAATGTCAAAACTGAACCTTCCGCTGAAAACGACAGACTTCTCTCAGGTGACGTATGCAGGACTACTCCAATCATTTAATCTGCTTAAAAGTGTATGCAGATGAACGTGAGCTTGAAGGGTGTTTGAAGGTTTGAGAGCAACACCAACATTTCAAAAACCAATCAACAACCAATGTATAGAACTAAGTCCTGTCCTAAATTTTTTTGGTTTCTGATAATCTATTGCACTTGGCTGTACATCACAAAATGGAAGAAAAGATCTGTCGCTACTTCCGTTACATCGCAGCTTTAAAAGTGACAAAGACACTCTCCGGTGTTGGATCCGAAATGGAAAAAAGGCCAAAGAACACCACTGAAATTCTGTTAAATGTATTTCTGAAGTGGCTTGTGACAGTAATCCAAATGGCAAGGAGGCAGCAGGAAAAGAAGTGTGAAATTAAGATGTAGAAGGCAATACAAAAATCCTTCCTGGAGCCCAGTATTCTGACACATTCAACAACCACAACAACAAAAAACAATTAGTTCAATCTCATTTCTGCTGGCAAAAAATTGGAAGATTAGGATACTGGAGGATGAAGTGCAATATGTAGTTATTAATCCCTCATCATTCGCCTTTAGGGGGAAGCCTGAAAGAGCGTGTATGCAGCTATGATTTATTCAACAGTGGCACGAGAGCATCTGCCAGGTGTTATGGAAAGACCGGTAATATCAAAGGAGAACATACACATTAATATTTGTTTGCCTGCACAGCAAAAAACGTGCCAGCGGGCTGAAAACGGCAGTCGGCACTCAAAGTGACGCAGAAACCAGCAGGTGACAGGTAGGAAGCGTATAGAAACGATTCCGAAAGACACAACAAACAACAAAACTTTTCACGCATATAAACTGCTTGACAAGAGAACAAAACATACATACAAATGCTCCTTTTTCCAACTCTTATAAAAAGCCACATATAAAAATACAAGAACACCCAAAAAAAAACACGGCAGGCACTGTCCTACCAAGTATGTGCCACGGTGAAGCGCCTCTGCTTGTGGATGTTGTTGTTGAGAAGCATCCGTCGGAGGAGACGGGGGGAGTTCCGTGGCGACAGCCGGGGCGAAATAGAGGAGGGCGAGCGGCGGTGCCCTCGGGGTCGCTCCTGCTGCAGGAGGTTCTCCCTCAGGATCTTCACCAGGTCCTCGTTCAACCCGACGTGCTTGGGCATGGGCGGCACTGCCAGCGTGTCCTGGTGGCCGACGGCCGCTTGCTGGGCCATCCTCACGCTTCACCCGTCCTTCTCCCGCTGCTGGGGGCAAAAACAAAAAAATGTCCACTGATCCAGCGGTAAACTCCCCAGGATGGGGGAAAGGAAGGGTGAGCGAATGAAATTGGAGCGTCTCTCCAAACCCCGTGTGGGCGGCTTGGCGCACGAATGAGTGACTGGAATTAATCGACGAAAGAGCAGGAGAGCGGAAGAGTCCGTGCTCCTGTCAGGACGACTGCCGAGCTGTGATGGTGTGCTTGTGAGAGAGAAGAGGAGAGGGAGAGAGGAAGGGAGGGAGGGAGGAGAGACAGAGCAAGCTGTCGATCTGCAGCGCTTCACTGACTGCTGACTGCAAGCCACCACTTTGCTTAAGAGCCATTCAGATTGTGTGTGTGTGTGTGTGCGCGCGCAGTATGAAGTAAGAGGCCACTGCTGCCAAAAAGTAACTTTTCTCTTTTTTCCCTCTCCGTATGTTCTTTGTGTAAATCTGACTAATTTATTACAAGGATGTGTGTTAGTATGGGTGTGTGTCCAAAGAAAATAATGTGTGTATTTGCTTATCCTTTGATCACTGAGCAGCTGTTCTAAATATGATTTTATGATGTAGACTTTATGCTGCCAAACATGTCACAAAAAGAAAAGCCTCACAAGGTAAGGAGACACGAAAATGAATAAATCCTGACAGGAGCCGGCTATAAATGTTTCTTATGATCATCACAGCATGCTTATTTTAACAGCTGCAGGAAAGATATAAAACATCTCTTGTCATTTCTCCTAGAAAATGGAGACTTTTACTGAAAGCGATAGTTCACCCAAAAATAAAAATTCTGTCATCATTTACTCACCCTTGTGTTGTTCCAAACCTGTATGACTTTCTTTCTACTGTGGAACATGAAAGAAGATATTTTGAGAAATGGCTCAGCGGTTTTTTTTTCCTCCATAGAAATGCAAGTCAATGGCCTCAAATCTTTGCTTCCCAATGTTCTTCAAAATATTTTCTTTAGCTTCCCCCAGAAGAAAGTCATACAGGTTTAGACTGACATGAGTGTGAGGAAATTATGACAGAATTTTTGGGTGAACTATCCATTTAAATTTCCTAAGATTTTTCTCCAAAGAATAAAATCCAGTAATATTACATGATTATGAGATCTCCGCAAATGTCTCAAACTGTGCTCAGATTCTTCTGAGACTAAATATGCTACCATCTCAACATCTTTTTTTCTACTTTTATTTCTGTTTTGACCATTTCTATAGCTTAAACTGTAGAAAATGGCACTAGCAACTCCAAAGTCATGGGGTTGAATCCCAGGAAATGAATGAACTGATAAAATGCATTATAATGTAACCTTCAATGCAATGAAAGTCACTTTGGATTACCAAATGCATTAATGTAAATAAAATGTAAAGTTCTCCTTAGGAGCAACACCTGAGACTAATTTCCAACTTACTCATAACTAAGAACTCCATTAAGTCTCCTGAGCTTGAAAAGAGCAACCCCTGAGCAGCTGTATCAGCATCTCTGTATGATCTATTTACCATTTAGCGTGTAAATGCTAAAATCCATAAATGACAGAACTTTTTCCAAATCTATTATTTCTATGCTTACTTGCATTTTTATCCAAACGCAAAAACTCATTCTCAGTTATACCAAACATAATCATCATCATACTAATTAGACATCAGACACAACATCGCTTGAGGTCAACAGCACTTCTCTGCCTGTTCCTTTCACCTTCACTCACCTGAACTAGTGATACTATCATAAGCTCCTATTGAGTTCTAGTCATTTAAAAGATGCTGTGACCCGAAGCAATTTAAAGTGCACTTCTAACAGGAAGAATCATCACTGTAGAAACCTGGGGCTGCTGTAAGCGTTTTGCTGAAGCAGGGTTTCTGCAGACTTGAACAAGTTAAATTTAAGACTTTTTAAGACCTTTTTAATACCACCTTATATGAAATTTAAGACCTAAACCTGTAATGGAAATACACATTTTATTACATACATATATGTAATATTTAATGTGTATAAATTAAAAAGAAAACAAAATATCAATGCTGTAATAAATGGTATTTATTACTACGATATACAGTGAACTTTTCATGTCAGCAGACAATATTCCATACAAAATATCCCCACAAAATAACTGCATCACTAAGATTTTTGGTGGAGTAAATTTATTCTGAAGCAATATTTTCATCAGTGTTCTATAAGCTTTTACATACTTAAATCTGCATATTTACCTTTACAAAGGCCTATTTTTAACCTTTTTAGATGTATGCATCATCTTACAAATTATTACAATTGATCAATAAATTAAATATACACTATAGGGCTGCTACCAGTCAGATTAAATAATTTACACTGCAAACAACAATAATTACAACTGCAATAAATAATGTTATAAGATTAATGTTTTAAATGCATTTATGAATATACAAATAAGAAATGCTGAGGGGAAAAATGCATACTTTTCAACAAACTTCTCAACTAAACTACCAGTAAGTGGAGGTAAGTCACTTAATGGGTGAGTCACCGAGTCATTCATTCAACTGATTGAGTGTGTTATCATGCTGG